AAGTTGGACAAAACCCAGTATTGATAAGGCGTGTGGGAGACCAGACCCTTTCACTTAGTGCTGGTGGGAACAAAAATGCTACTAACAAAAATACACACTTAATTGAAAAAAGAAAAGAAAAAAAACATGAAATTTCCTGAATGTGCATCAATAGGCAACTGGTTAAATAAATTACAAAACACCCATACAATAGAAGACTATGCTATCTATTAAAAAATATACATATAAGCAAAACATGTCAGCACAGAAAGCTGTCCTGGATGTGCTTTTAGGTAAAAACACAAACCACAAATCACTTCATATGAATAGCATGATCCCATTTGTAGTAAAGTATAAAAGGATATACATATATGTTTATATATACATGAAATTGTGGAAAGATATGCAAGAATTAGTTAACAGTGCTTATCTCTGGAATGGGAGAATGGCAGAGGGAGTTGGGAAACCGTTTCCTTTTAACTGTATACCTTCTGTACTATTGAGACTTTTTACCATGATGGACTATTATATTCTTACTTTATTTAATCAATCATATATTTAAGAAAATGGGCTACCCAAAAGAATGTGAAACAAAAAAAAATAGAAAGCATTGTGTGTGTGTCGAAAGCCTGTTTGTTCAACTCTGTGCTAGCCTGGACTGAGTCAAGCTCTAGCTTATGGACTCTCCTCCTGTTTGCTAAGGTCTTCATATATCTAAACCATCCTGAGTCATTAACCCAAAGAAAATGAGTTAAATATGAAGTCATTATTTTGTGAATTATTATAGCTACTGCAACAAACACCATGGGCCGGTAGGGAAGTCTCTGAACCAAAGGATTCTTTTAGGGGAACTGGAGGTTATTTGGAGCTCCTGGGGGGAAAGTCTTCCCCCAGTCCCATTCCTCTCCTGCTTCCCCTCTCCCCTCTGCCTCACACAACCACACCTTGCCCTCTCCTCCGCCACCTTGACCACAGAGCCTATTCCAGGCAAGAGAAGTGTAGACCCAAATCATTATACTTCCTCAGAACTCACCTGGGATTGAATGTGTCGTAAGTTAAGCAATAATTCAAGTTGCTCCATATACCTCCTTGTAAGCACACCAGGGAAGTCAGGCAGCAGGCCTCATGGGAGCCCATTCTATCTGCCCATAAATCCATCCATCCATCTATCTAGTCTATTTATTTTATATAAACTCACACACATGTATGTATATATGTGCATATGTATATATGTATATGTATAGACACACACACACACGCATACATACATACATTGGTTTCCATGGGAATGTGTGGGGCAATTCTAAGTATTGGGTAGGCAGATGCTGGTGCTTACTAATGTAGGGAGGCACTACATACAGAGAGGGGGAATGGTTAGAAGCTGGACAGAGGGCACTAGTGTCTGTGGGTGGGCCTGATCCCCAGGCAAGGAAAGAATTCGGCTCATTTGGTAAATTTTCGTTGGATCAAATCACTAGATGATAAATATGATGTAAGTCTTTTGAGCCAGGTCAGTGATAAAGAGGAAAATGTTTTTATTTCTTGGTGTGCTCAGAATCACAAGCTTCCTAACAGAAAAAGAGCATCCATACCCCCAAAATAAGTATCTTCACACAATAAAGTACCAACTTCTCTTCCTGCCTCAGTGGCACTCTTGGAAGCTTAATTTTCATCTACACCAGTCTTTTGCAGAACTGAATACCTTTGGTTGCTCAGCCTGGGCCTCCCCCAGTCCTGGCAGGCTGGCCTGCCTGCAGATTTGACCTGAGGAGGTCAGGAGACATTTAGACCTTGCGGGGCAACAGTTTTCTCCATTTTATTGAGTCTCTTTTGCCCATAAGACTGGTGCTTTTTTGAGTTTCTGACTCATGCCAGCCACATTTTCTTGGTATTTTGGTTTGATGAGTACCCAGGTTTTGACGCACTTAGAACTGTTTTTTTTTTTTTTTACCCCAGCTAGTTCTGGAAGCTTAGATTTTGACCTAATTACTTCCCAACTGCTGCCAGCTCACTGCTTCCATTTTCTCTTATATTTCTCATTTCCCCCAATACCTATAACCCTTGCCAGCTTGCATCCCAGCACACACACACAGACACACGAATATGCACAGACAGTTTAGGTGTAGATACTGGACAAATAACCTTTACAATGGCTGGAAGTTTGAAGGTTTGATTATTCTTTCAATTAATACTAGTAAGGCAGGGAAGGGGAAGCCTTTTGGGATGTTATGTGAAAAGGTACATTTCCTTTTAAATTCTGTCTCTTCTTTAGTTTTTCTACCCTCAAAGACTTAGCCTTCAAACAAAGATCCTCTAAAGGTTTGTTTTTCATCTGAGGCCAAACTACTGGCTACTGACTAGGTGGAACTGTGAATTATGGGGTGTGAGAAGAAAGAATTTTTAGTGGAAATTAATTTGTAAACATCTTTCTTTTTCTGCCTCTTTTGGGGATGACTCACCATGAAAATTTTCAGTCTCAGATTTTGAGTTCAGCATAAACTTTCATTTTCATTAATTATCCCCGGAATTCACAATATTTTTCCTTTTGGGGGATGCACAGAAAGTAGCATTGTGAGATTCAAGTCTCTTCAGAGCAACATGGTGGCGGGGAGGGGAAAGGGGACAAGTATGCCTGGCCTCTACCATTCCTAATGATGCCACGTGCAGGCTGTGCCTTTCTCCAGACTGTCGGGCATCAAGCCTGCCTCTATGTGGGTCACCCAGGGACTGTTGAGGAGGAGGACGCTGCCCCAGGGCCCTCTTCAGGCTGCCTGCCCCACCACTGATCTCACTGTGTGTCTGAGTGTCATGAGAACGCGGGGCCCAGTAGTGCCGGTGGTACTCCTCATCACCCATCTCCCCCTCTCAAGGCAGGACACCACTGTCACTATGATGCTGTGCCAGATTTCTGTTTGAAATCAGCAGTCTACAGACAGTTTTAGACAAACCGGAAATCACTTTTTTGGACTGAAAAATACTTTTCTCTTGGGACATTTTGTTGTGCTTTGAGTACATTTTAATACAGTGAGGTATTAATAACATTCATAGACTCCTAGGGACAAGGGGCTAGGAAGTACCTCCAGGGACATCCCATCCATCACCATGATGCCAGGCAGGCTTCACCCAAACCGCCCAGACATAGGTGAATATCCTGTTTTCACAGGTCATCCGGAAAAGAGACTCTGCAACCACTCTGGGGTGACCCATCTCAGTGCTCATTGCCCTTCAATGCTGTCATTATCTTTGTATTACAGGGAAACACCCCATGCTAGACTGCTGTGAGCTTTAAAAACACAAATTTGAATATTTTGAACCAGATGTCACAAAGCCCGATTGTCAGCACACTATTTATCTGGTACTGAAAAATGCCATTTCAAACCAAATACTGACGTCTCTTCCTGGGGTTGGACCCAGCCGGACAGTTTTCACTGTACAGTAAACGCCTAACCTGCAGCCCCCTTAGGCTTCCCTTCCATGTGGGATCTGGTCATCATTAAATGGTGAGGTTTTGCAGGTGTACCACTGTGTTATTCTGCTCCCAGAAATCACAGCCATCATGTCCTTTTCCCTAAATCATATTAGCGGACCAGAACTGCCATAAAAAGCAAAGGCTGTATTTCTTGGAGAGTACTCACTTAGACACATGAAAAGATTTCTGACACTTGGTTTGTTCCTTTGGTTTTTAGAAGAGGCAGCTTTAAAGGACTCCTTTCCCTAGCTTTCCCCGTCTGCGATGTGCTACAGGAAACCCCAGCGTGATCTCTAAGAGGTCTAGTTACATTTTGACACATGATAACCCACAGGCCCTTCTGCAGTTAGAAGCGAAACAGGCACCTCCCTTTCTTCTGGCGATTTCCCTTGGCAAAGTGGAAAGTCAGAGGAACTGAACTGGTCAGGAAAGCCCTGACCACGAGCTGGTATGAACCTCAGACAAGACACAGCTCGGTGAGATACAGTGTGCACAGTCATTGTCTGAGACTGAAGGCCTGAAATTGACACCATATGTGCCCCAAGGAGTGATTGCTCCAAGGGGGAGAAAAGGAACGTGTCAGAACATTTTGGTAACACCTAATTCATCCCGAGGTTATAAATAAATATGATGCTTGCTTAAAAACAAAAGTCAGAAAATACTTTAACTAGATTACTTCTGTGACAGTGTGTCAGGCAGAGGTGAACTTTATTAGGGAGACAAAGTGAATAAAGAGAAACACATAACAACTTTTTATGGTATATTTTACATGATTTTATTTTTTTTGCAGTAAATAAAGTGGTTATAGGGCTCCAAGGAAAAGAGCCCAGATGTTAGAGAGTTGTGTGAAATTTAGGGGAAACAAGCTGTAAAAAACACAGTCATAAAACAGGCTGTCAGTGCCACACATCTGGACAATACAGCTGTATGTTCCTAGTGGCTGTCGTCACCCAAAGAAAACTCAATAACCTTATTTCACCCCAATTAGGCTGCATACCAACATGATCAACATTAAGTTGCAAGAGTACAATTCATATGGTGCCTTTGTGTCAAGCAGCTTTTATCTTTCATTTGAATTTGGTTACCAAGAAATAAAAGACTGCTAATTTAGTCATTTCCACTATTATAAAACCTTATTTAATTTATAATGTCCTAATAAGTCAAAGTTTGACACTTTGGACTACTGTCTATGCCAAACAACAATAGACTTTCTGTAGCATGAAACCAACCCATCAGTCATCCTAAAATGGAGCCCCGCCTATCTTTTCTCTACCTTTCTGGGGGAATCGGAGTCTAACACCATTGTGGGAAGCACTTTCTGCCTTATTCGAAAAAGAGATTGATATCCAGACAACCCAATTTATTTAAAGGAGAGGGCACTTTCTAGCATTGGAGCATTTTTTTCCCCTTCTTTTTTCAGCCAGCAGTGAGACATCTTTGCAGTATGACAAATATTACAAAACATAAAATACTCTTTCTTCTTTTTGTCACTGACAAACTGTACCAAAGGTTATAAAATGTCACTTTTCCTAATAACTGTGTTTCTTCATAGGTGTTAATGGCAGCAAAAGCAATTATGGACAGTGGAGAGACATTAACCTTACCACTGATAGGGAAACTCTTGAAATTTCAACTTCTCCAGATTAAATTTAAGGACCAACAGCGACGGGAAAATGAAAAGAAGGTAACGTACAATATTCTAAAGCGCGCAAGCAGTGAGTGAAATGGAGCCAGGTTTCTCCAGGGGCACTTCCTCTCTTCTTAAGCCTACCATTAAGTGTTACCTGGCAAATTTTGCTGTCACCTCAACTTCTTAGGGAAAAGTCTACCCAGAGATCTGGAGGAATTATGATAAATCCACTAAAAATAAGTTCCCTTGCATATGAAAATGACAATATTCAGGGCATGTGCCTAAGATCGTTTCTGTGGTAGAGTATTTACATAATATAGTAGTAGCAAAGACGGGACTCAAGGAAGGGACAGGGAGTCAGGAAAATTAAATATAAAAAAGAGGGGGAACCCCTCAGAATCAGGGTCTATTTAAAATATTTTATATGATAGTCAATAGGACTGCCAATTAAAATAATAGGCACATCTGCACCTTGATAATAATCTGATATTTTAGCAGCTATCCATCACTTCTACTCCCATATTATACGTCTGATAAATTTCTTCACATGTGGATTTTTCATTTAACTTGCGTATGGAAATCAATCTATGTGTTTTCCAAAGATTCATATTTGCCTCTCAAAAATATTTTAAAATACTATTAGCAAACTGATGCCA